AGAGAGAGAGAGAGAGAGAGAGAGAGAGAGAGAGAGAGAGAGAGAGAGAGAAAGAGAAAGGAGGAGGAGGAGGAGGCAGTTTTACTGGGCAATTATAGTGAGACAGACAGAGTGAGGCAGACAGATAACAACCTAGAACAGGTGAAGACAGAGTGGGCCAGAGAATGAGAAAGAGATAGAAGATTAGAATAGATTGTTAGAGTTAGTTTGAGGTCAGTTAGAACAGTTCAGGAGAAACCCAGAGAAGCCAGACTGAGTCAATTAGCATGGAGCTCGTAGAGGAGTTTGAGTCAGAACCACTGAGCTGAACCAGCCAGCCAGAGTTCAACAAGAAAGGTGAGCTTGTTCAGCAGGAAGTCTCAGAGGCTGAAAACATTCCAGGCCTAGATAAGATTATATGGAGGCTAGCAGCTTCCAGGAGTAGGCCTAGGTTAGTAGTTGGAGGCAGTAAGCCTTGGAGACAACAAATACCTCAGGAGAATAAAAGTTACATTTTACGAGTGTGTCTATGGGTGTGGAAGGAGACGTCAGCCTTGGCTATTTTCCTTGGCTGCTCTGCATCTTACTTTTAGAGACTGGGTCTCTTGTCTCTAACTCAACCCAGAGTTCATCGGTTCAGCTTGGCTGGCCAGCCAACAAGCTCCAGGGACCCTCCTGTCTCTACCTCCCCATGCTAGATTATAGGCATGCCACCATGCCTGGATGTTTATGTGGGTGTTGGGATCTGAATTCGAGTTTTTGTGATTACATAGTAGACACTTTACCAACTGTATCCTGTCATCATCCCCTCTGGATACTATATTATTACTGTTGTTTTTATGTTTTAAGATAGAGTCTCTCTAGTAGCCTTCCTAGCCTAGAACTCTCTTTTTATACTAGGCTGGTCTTGAACTCACAAAGATTCACCCTCATTTCCCTCCTGAGTTCTCAGGTCACCTGGCTGGTGATTTTGAAATGTGAAAGCCTGATAATATGCTGATGGACTTCATATATGGTATAGAATAACAGGGGTAGTCAACGAGCATCTCAATTTTGGGGGATTGAGGAAGAGGAAGAATGGGCGGGGCATGATCACAGTCTGGAAGCTGCCTTTCTTGAGCTGGTGCTTTAACCATGTGGTCTACATGCTCTGCTTATGATGACGCCTCAGTCACTTTGAGCTGTATCATTGCTATGGCAACCTTGAGGAGCCACTTATCCCATGCGACCTTTAGTCCTCCCACAAAAGGCAACCATGAGCCTCTTTTACGACTCAGTGACAAAGGAACTCTCTCTCTCTTTCTCTCTCTCTCTCTTCTCTTTCTACCTCTCTCTTCCTCTCCCTTTCCCTCTCTTTTTCTCTCTTAAACACACACACACACACACACACACACACACACACCCTCACCCCTAGCAGAGGAGCTCCTAGCAGTTGATGGCTTCTGAGGGAGGAGGGGCCAGTTTTAAGACTGATCTTAACAGCATGAACATGCTCCAGTGGACAGCCCCCCACCCAGGTGTGTATGTTCCACTCAAATTGGACTCAGTTGGTAGTTAAAAAAAAAAAAAAAGAAGCAAGAAAGAAACTGGGAGGAAGTAGAGAGTGACAGTGGATACTTTTATGTTAACCTGACATAGGCTAAAGTCATCTGAGAAGGGGAACCTTAGTTAAGAAAATGTCTCAGTAAGACTGGGCTGTAGGCAAGCCTGTAAGGCATTTTCTTAATTAGTAATTGATGGGGAGGGCCCAGCCCGTTGTGGGTGGTGCCATCCCTGGGCTGGTGGTCCTGGATTCTTTAAGAAAGCAAGCTAAGCAAGCCATGTGTAGCAAGCCAGTAAGCAGCACTCCTCCATGGCCTCTGCATCAGCTCCTGCCTCCATGTTCTTTCCCTGTTTGAGTTCCTGTTCTGGCTTCTTCTAATGAGCCACTATGACGTGGAAGTATAAGTCAAATAAATCCTTTCTCTCCAGCTTGCTCTTTGGTCATGGTTTTGTTGCAGCAATGGAAACCCTAACTAAGTCTTGGGGGCAGAGGAGAATATGATCAAAATACATTGAATGCATGTATGAAGTTCTCAGAATTAATACAAAAAAATTATATTGAAAAAAAAAAAAGAATAGTCTGGCAGTATTGTATGTTAGTTCTGCTGCTTCTGTTTTGAGGAACCGAAACTCGCCCATTTCTGCTGTGACAGCGGCAGTTGACATTCCCACCAGCAGTGAAAAAGGGTTCCTCTTTCTTGTGTCCTCTGTGAAGGAGTCTGCACTTGAGCAGGGTGTGGGAGGACACAAAAACCACAGGGTCACAGGTCACAAATGCTGTGCTCAGGTTACAGAGACACAAAACTCCGATGGGGAAGAAGGTGGTGGCAGTCACACCCCAGAGTCAGCGCTCTTCTCAGGGGTGTCTGAGAGCTGGCAGGTGTCCCCTGCAGACAGCCACCAATACCATCAATACCATGTGGCAATACCATGCGGTAATTCTGCTTCTGGAAAAGATGGTGGGAATAATATATGGATGAGAACATTTACCGTCGTCACCTTGGGCCGCTGTAACTAAGCACGGTTCAGTGTGCATTCACAGGGCTGTGCAGTCTCCAGGACTCATCCAGAAACTTCTTTTAGGATGGATGGATGTGGCAGTAGAGGGACGGAGGCAGCCAGATCTCTGGGAGTTTGAGGCCAGTCTGGTCTGCATAGGAAGTTCCAGGTTAGCCAGTGCTATAAAGCAAGATCCTTTCTCCAAAAGAGGCAAAAACATTTTTTAGGGCTAGTGAAATGGATCTGTGGGTAAAAAAATATTTTCCATCAAGCCTGGTGACTTGAATTCAATCCCTGGGACTTACACAAAGGGAGGAGAAAGCAGGTTCCTAAAGTTGTCCCCCCATCTCTCTCTCTCTCTCTCTCTCTCTCTCTCTCTCTCTCTCACACACACACACACACACACACACACACACACACCACACCATTACACCATTACACAGTTGTATACATACATAAACACACAAACACAATAAATAAATATGAAACAATGTAATTTTCTGGAAATCTCTTTTTCTACCTTTCCCTTTGACTTTCCTCTTTTGCTTTGCTCAAAGACCTTTCAGGCCTCACAGAGCAGCAGGGAGCTGTGATGCTAAATGCCTGGGTTGTGCACCCTCTTGTCCCTATGCTGGTCTTCAGCAGACTGATATGTCTGAGCCTGCCTCCTCATCTGAAAATGGCCATGTTATGGGCCTCAGGAACTGTTCTCGCTGGGGATATAAAGGTAACTCAAGGAAGGAAGGGGTTAAGTTGGCTCCCAGTTTGAGGGCACAGTCCATCATGGTGGGGACAGCGTGGTGCCAGAATGTGACTCACCTGGTCACATGACATCGAAGTCAGGAAGCAGAGAGAGGAATGGCTACACTTAGCTTTTTTCTTCATCTTTATTCAGTTCACGGCTCAGCCCATGCAATGACACTGCCCATATTCAAGATAAGTCTTTGCTTCTCAGCCAACCCTCTCTGGAAGCACAGCTCACCCGTGGGTGTGTCCTTAAGGTGATTTTCTGTACTCCTTGATTCAACAGAAAGACCAAAAAAAAAAAAAAATCAAAGAGAGGAGATGGGATAGCCATCTCTACACACAAGGACAGCCTCAGCTATACACCAAGGAAGCCCTGCCTCGGAGGAGGAAGGGGAAGAGGAGGAGGAAGACTTTAGTGGAGATGGGGGAAGGAAGGTATACATGCATGTAATTGCTAATGAGCCCTAGTTTGCATCTGTCCCTTACATCAGAGGTTCGAATTTTATGCACTCAGAAGATCTCAGCAATAAGATTAGGGGCTAGAGAGGTGGCTCCATGATTAAGATTGCTTGGTGCTCTTACAGAGAATCTGAGTTCACACATAGCCACCTGTAGCTCCAGCTCCAGGAGATCCGAGACTCTCTCATGGCCATGCACATAGCACACACATCACACACATCACGCACACGCACACGCACGTGCACGCGAGCACAAATCTTAAAAGAACAAGATTTACTTGATTATCTTATACAACAGAGGCTTGTCTGTGCCCCAAGTGCGAACAGGGGGAGGAAGACCATGTTGTTTCTGGGGCTCCTTTAGGTCTGTCGATGAAAACAGAGTCAAGCATGGGACTGGTGGCCCATCTTTGGAAAGGTGGACTGCTGACCACTGCTTGGAGTCCCATCTCCTAGCAGAAACTCTGAGGGGTTTGGGGTTCCATGTGGACGGCCACCCCTGCCCCTGTCTGACTGGGAATGTGGAAATGCCTTATGGAAGTTCAATGTGTAGAATGTAAGACACAGAAGAAGCGGACCAGGCCTTGGGAATTGGGAAGATCCCAAATGGTCCCCACACATCTCCCCTTTACATATTCTGAATGTCACGCACATATGGAAGAATGGGGGACACACAGGAGCTGGTTCTATCAGGTAGGTGTCACTTGCTAAGCTGACCTCTTTCCCAGTGGCACAATTAACTGTCAACTAAACAGAATCTAGAACCGCCCAGGAGACAAGCCTGTGTTCAGGCCTGTGAGGGAGCTTCTAGAAGGTAATTGATGTGGGCGGCACCATTCTAGTGTGTTGGGGTCCTGAACTAAATGAAAACAGAGAACTGAGCCTGTTGGCGATTCTGCTTCTTGACTGTGTCTGTCACGTGATAGGCTGCCTCGGTGCCTTTCTCCGGCAGCATAGACTGGAGCCTCAAACTGTGAGCCAAGACACAGCTTTCTCGCTTCAAGTCGCCTCTGTCAGGCGTTTTGTCACAGCAATGAGATAAGTAACCGACAGTGCCTGAGAGAGTCTTTCTCCACCCGTCACCAGAACCTATGGTGTATGAAACCGCACCCCAAAGGGATGGACACCACGTGCATATTCTGTTCCCACTCTGTGGCTCATCCGCACCAGCTCACAGTTCTCATTTTGGCTCCAACTTCTTGGAACACACACACACACACACACACACACACACACACGGTGCTGGGATGAGACCCAGAGTCTCAGGTAGCTCAAGCACATGCCCTGTCGTTGAGCTACATTCAAAGCTCTCGTGTACACACTTCTTATGATCTGGTCAACTTTACTGTAGACGTTGTTCAAATGGCTTCGCACACGTGTCTAGAAACAGGCTGGTTGATCTTGGTGTGGCATTCAATAAGGATGAGTCATTTCTATTCCATATGGTCCCCTGTCCTCCAGGAGACTGGGCACGATGTTGTGTTCCGTTTCACTTCATGTTCTCAGATCCCTAAGGCAGAAAGGGAGCCTGGAGAGATCCCCCTGTGGATAATAGTGCTTGCTGAGGACTTAGGAATTTTACACCTGCCTGTAACTCCAGCTCCAGGGGATCTAACATTCTCTTCTGGCTTCCAGAGCTGTCACACATATGTGGCATACCCACGCGCATGTGCACGTGCACGCGTACACACACACACACACACACACACACACACACACACACTTTAAAGAAAAATCAGCTCCACAAAGCAGAAAGAGAAGGCAGTCTCAGGGTAGAAGCTATCATCAAATTTCCATTTGTAACACTTTTACTGTTGACCATGGCAAGTTACAAGGTCAAGACTCAAGAGGTGACCCGTAGACTCCACCACTGTTCGATACACAGAGCTGCAATGTTATATTAGCACTTGTTTTTTTAATAACAGCTTTACCCAAACTATTATATAAGAACTTTGTATTATGTTTGGTGCCCAATAGGTAACAGAGGATGTTTATTACAAGAATTCAGAAGTAAAAAAAAAAAAAAACAAAACAAAAAACAAAAACTACTCAAATGATGTCTCTGTCTGCTGCCCCTGGCTCATAGGCTGGACCCTACTTTTTTCTTGTTCACTGCTGGATTTCTGAGTTGGGCTAAAACGTCGAAAGTTCAACACACTTATCTGTAACATAGACGGTGACATTTTACCTGAGTATTGTGACTGGCCCTGGCCCCCTCCATCTTGATGCTGACGAGAGCACAAAGTTCCCCATCATGGTCAGGAAAAGGAAATGACCGAAGCTTGAGCAAGCAGAGACCATCTTCTGCCAAAAGCTGGCGCTTGCTTCCCCCTAGTGGCTATTTTTTGCATGACTCCACTCAAGGTATGAAATTAGCAGATAAATGACAAAAACAAGATGGCGGTTTCCACAGTGTGTAAAACTAGAGAACGACCGGCATTTTTTGTTTTTAATGACCATCTATCTACACCTCGTATGTGCTGTAGATGGCTCCCATCTCCTTTGTGCGCGCACACACACGGTGGTTGGGGATATGCCACACCTATTTTTCGTGCCTTGGACCAGAGAAAAGGCGAAATGAAAAGATACATAGACAACGTAAGTCACCGTGGGCGAGGAGAGGCTTTGTCACTGAATAAACATGGTGGAGTTGGACAGGGGGAGAGAGTTCCCGGATTTGATCAGCTCATCCAGGGCCTGGTAGGTCCCCACCACGAAGCCCACGAAGCCCAGGATGCTGATGAGGGCGTCCTTGATGATGGTCATGGGGCTCATGCCCTCTCCATAGTAGGTGGTCACCTCCAGCAGGGGCGGGATGATGAGGGCCAGGGCGCTGCTGCTCACAGAGCCCACCAGGGAGAGGACCAGATCCAGGCGGGGGATGAGGATGGCCAGCGTGCCTGTGGGAGATGAAAGAAGACAGATGGAGAATCCCAGGTTTGCTTTAAAGGCTTTTATTGAGGGCTGGAGAGATGGCTCAGTGTTTAAGAGCACTGACTGCTCTACCAGAGGTCCTGAGTTCAATTCCCAGCCACCACATGGTGGCTCACAACCATCTGTAATGTGATTCAAGGCGCTCTTCTAGTATGTGTCTGAAGACACCTGCAACATACTCATATAAATAAGACAATAAATAAATCTCTTTTTAAAAGGCTGTTATTGAAGTCATCTTTAAGAGAAACAAAACCTCCCTCAGAAATTCAGCTTTGCAAATAAAGATTGAGGGCTGGGATGTAGATCAGTTGGTAGAATGCCTGCCCAGGATGTGTGAAGCCCTGATTCCATCCCTGGCACCATGAACACTGGGCATGGCGACACACATCTGTAACCCCAGCGTCTTGGAGGTGAAACCTGGAGGATCTGGAGCTCAAGGTTTTCTTTGACTACGTAGTTTAGTTTGAGGCTAACCTGTGCTATATGAGACTGTATACAAAGGAAATGAATGAATAAATGAATAAATAAATAAATAAATAAATAAATAAAGGCATGGTGTGCCATGCCTTTAGTCCTAGCACTTGGGAGGCAGAGGCAGATCAAGCTGTGAATTCCAATCTGCCAGCCTGGTCTACATAGTAAGTTCTGGGCTAGCCGGGGATACATACTGAAACCCCGTAAAAACAAAACAAAACAAAACAACAACAGTAAGAAACGAATGGGAGATGGCTCAGTGGATAAAGGCACTTGCTGCTCAGTCTGTTGACTTGACTTTGATCCCCAGACACACATGGTAAAAGAAGAGAACCAACTCGGGAAAGTTGTCTTCTGACCTATACACGTGTGTCAACATGCACATAAGAACAATAAACAGACAGACAAACAAATGTAAAAAAGTAAAAAGAAAGAAAAGGAAAAGCAGAGAGCTCCCAGCACACCAGCGCCCTCCAGGAGCACTCATTAGTGGTTGGTGTTGCTTGTTCCTGTTTAGATCTGCTGTGACAGCGCAAGGCGGTGCAGAGATTTCCTCCATCTTGTATTTTTGCTGAGGCCATTTCAGGTTTAACTCGAATTTGATCTCTTTGATGGTAAATCCCATGAAAAATCACTCAACTCTATTCTAGGAACTGGAGGCCAAGATACCCCAGCTGATCTCTCTTAGCTTCTGTTATACTGCTTGTTTGTGCAAACCCCTGCTCTCCCCCCACCCCCAACACACACTTCAGCTGCTGATCGAGACACCAGGATGTAGGTTTTGCCTTTAAAGCCGCTTGCTCTAAATGTTCCAGGCTACACTTGAATCCCCAAATACCTGAGTATAGTCCCAGTTGGCTGGAATAAAGACTTTCAATTGGCTATAAACTGTGGTCATCTGGGAGGGGGGTTCCCCAAAACACTATGTGTTCATATTGTTGTGTTGTTGTTGGGGGGTTCTCTACCCACTTAGGTTCAGTGCTTGAGGTTCTGGCGATGGAGAGGTTATTAAGAAAAAACAGTGTTCATTTGTGAGATACAGCCAGGAGAGTCAAAGGGATAGCTCTATATAGCCAGGTAATAAAGGAAGCTGGCTTGCCTCATATGCATGGAGTCCCAGCAGAATCCACCATCCCCTAAACCCAGAGGGAATGGGAGTTTCAGATGGTTCCTTAATTCCAGCGACAAGGGCTAGCATCCTTGCAGCCGGCCTTGGAGCTGGGGATTAGAGAGGCCATGCTTCCAGAGTGCCCCATGTAGTCAGCAAAACAGGGTACTTAACCATTGTTTAAATATCAATAGCTTTGCATGATCTTTTGCTATTATTATTTCATACATGTATGCACGTTCTGAACCCTCTCTCCATCAAATGACTTTTGTTTGTATTTTCATTTTTCAACCTTTGACAATTTCCTGTGGGTGTATACTGTATGTTGACTGTGTTCTTCCCACTGTCTCCTGCACACAACCCCCCCTCCCTCGGCCTGGTCCATCTTTTCAACAGGTTCTCTCTTTACCTTCATGTCGAAATAACAGGTAGAAATTAATTAGGGTTAAACACTGGGGAGGGGTGCAGGGGGGCTTGTTTATAATGTTGGACTAAATATATACAAAATCATGAGGGACAGACAGCACCTGTTGCCTGAACATTTTCCCTGGCTTCCCCACCTTCAGTGTCAGCCTTGGACGTGAAAGGTGCTGGCTCCGGTCTTTGGTGGCTTGGGTTCGAATTATCCTGCAGGAATGGGTCCTGCTTATTTTTCTTCATTATCATTATTTTTAAGTTTAATTACATTTATTTATTGAGCATATTTGTATGGAGTATGTGTCTCAGCACATATGTAGAAGTCTGAGGACGACATTTAGGAGCTGACACTCTCCTACCAGGCAGGTTCTGGGGATTGAACTTGGGTTGTAAGTCTTGGCAGCAAGTGTCCTTATGAACTGAGCCATCTCACTGGCCCTTTGTTACTACCACTGCTGCTGCTATTGAGATAGTGCCTCATTAGCTCAGGCTGGCTTCAAACTTGCTCTGTAGCCAAGAATGACCCTGAACTTCTTGTCCTCCTGTGTGTTGGGATTACAAGAGTGCACCACCATACTCTAGCTCTGAGGAACCACGGATTGAAACAAGGGCTTCATGCATGCCAGGAAATGCTCTATCAACTTACTGACGCCCCCAGCTCCCAGTACTCACTGATCAGTTATTTGGCAGTGTCCTGCTTCCTGAGCATTCTCATGAGGGCTGAGTAAAATACTAAGGAATACAGCCTAGGACGAGTTTACCACAGTGTCCCCCACACACTCTGTATATATGATTATTATTTTATATACTGGATATCAATGAATCTGTCCTTGGGCTGGGCATCAGTACACCTTTCTAATCAGGGAACGTGTAAGAATGGTCTAAGCAGAGATTGGGAGATGGCTCAGTTAGCCAAGTATCTACCTTGCAAGCACAATGAATGACCTGAGTTTGATCCCTAGAACTTAGAAAGAACTAGGAATGGTGGGGGACACTTGTAACCCCCAGCATTGGGGAGGCAGAGACAGGCTGATCTCTGGAGGTAGCCTAGCCTAACCTCTGAGTTTCAGGCCAATGAGGAACCAGATTAAAAAGAAAGAAGGTGGTGGTGCCTGAAGAATGTCACCTAAGTTGTCCTCTGGCCTCTACATAGATGCACACATATGAGTGAACACAGACACAGACACACACAGACACACACACACACAAACACACACACACAGACACACATGAAGACACACACTGTCTCTGTCTCTATCTCTGTCTCTGTCTGTCTCTGACTGTCTCTCTGCCTCTCTGTCTCTCTCTCCTGTCTCTGCCAGAAATGGTCCGGAGACTCCTGGCCTCTGCTCTACTCACATGTGAGGCAGACCATGGCGAGCCGGATGGACAGGTCCACGGGCAGTGCCCAGCGCTTTGACACCTGGGAGACAGCAAGGGGGATGATGATTTCCGCAGGGACGTAGAACTGCAGGGCATAAGTACACAGGATGCCGACGACATACAGGAGCTTGACTGACTGGTACAGCCTGCAAGACACACAGACATGTTCTCAGTGGCCCAACACTTCCATGCCTGGCCTCCTGGAGACAGCAGCCTCTGAATTTGGGACAGTCTCTTGGGTCTTTGTTTCTTTATCTGAAAATAAGGGTGTGGGGCCTTCTCTGAGTGCAGAGGAGTCTCACCAATGTGGGGGAGAAAGAAGCATCAGGGATTCAATGGCGGCAGAGGGAAGGGCTGTGTAGGTAAGAAGCAAGCAGTTGTGAGCATGTGCACATGTGGTAGGTACACACGCACGCATACACACAGGCACACACCTGTGTGTGTGTGTGTCTTCACAGAGCACGCTGGTGCTTCTCAGAGCAGTGGTGCAGAGGCTACATACTTCTCCCAGGAACCCTTGCCTGGTAAGAGTCCAGGGTCCTAAGTGGGGGTCTAAAGTCCTATGTGACTAGGGTTCATAGAAATTGTCTGTGCCCCTTAAGTTCTACATCAGGAGCCCTCAACACATGTTCCCCTTAGTTGAGAGGACTGTGGAGTCCCTGATAATGGAGAGGAAAAGACATTACCAGTGGAGTTGTGTGAGGGGATGAAAGGAGGAACAGGGTCATGAGTGGGCTTGAAGCTGAGGGCCCAGATGAAGGGTGAGGTTTCAAGTGAGCTGAACTTGTGTGTGTGTGTACATGCTTGTGTGTATGTGAGTGCATGTGCAGACATGTGTGTTGTATGCATGTGGCATGTGCATGCATGTGAGTGTGTCTATGTGTGTGATGCATGTATATGTGCATATGCACATGTATGTGTGCATATGCATGTGTGCACATGTTTTGTGCATGTGTGTATGCATGTGTATGTGTATCTATGCATGTGATGCATGTGTATGTGCATGTGTGCATGTGTGTATATGTGCGTGCATGTGTTGCACATGTATGTTCGTGTGCATGTGTGCATACATGTGTTGCATGCATGCATATGTGTGTATGTTGTATGTGAGCATGTTCATGTGTATTCCACATGCATGTAGAGGACAGTGGTTGGTGTCAGTACTCAGTTACTCTGAGACAAGGCCTCTCACTGAACTGGAACTCACTAATTCAGCCTGACTGGCTGGGCACTGAACCTCAGGGGTACTCCTGTCTCTACCTTCCCAGTGTTAGTGTTAGGATTGCAGGCACATACCTGGCTTTGTGTGGGGGATCAGACTAAAGGTACTCACACTTGTGTGTCAAATTCTCTTACCCACTGAACCATCTCACAGCCCTGTTTCACGTTTCCAATGCTAGCTCCCTTGGCTTGGGGGACCCCAGCAGCAGCAGAGCCTGGGAAGGGGAACCAAAGTGTTCAACCCACAGATAGAAGCCCTTTTTCCTTCTCCAGAACTCCTGTGCTCTCCCCTAGGTGACCAAGGATTCTTGTTTCTATCCTTTCCTTTTAGTTATGTCCCCTTTGCACTGAGATACCTAGACCTGACTCAGCCTGGAAGCAGCTCTTGATGGGATCTCTGTAGTCCAATGGACCAATGGTGGCTCCACCCCTCCCAGTAGGAGGGTCTCTATACCTGGTCTCCTTGCTCTGACAGGGAGAGGAAGAGAGCTATACAGTTCTACACATCTCTCAATCCCTACCACCCAAGAGCCATGAAGGTACCAGCAGTTGGGCAGGTTAAGAGTGATGCTGGCTTTGATGTCATCTCCAAACCGCAGGTAGCCCAGAGCCCCAATGGCAATGTACAGGGTGGTGATGATGGACATCCCCAAAGACAGAATGGTTGGGAAGCGGCGGGCATCCTTCATCTTGTTTTCCAGAGGCAGGACCTGCAGGAGCATCCCACTATAAGGAGGAGGATAACAACAGCAACAACAATAACAGTAACAACCAGGGGCATAAAGAAGAGAAAGCCTTGCTGCCTCTGGAATGTGCCCAAATGAATCAAAAGAAGGGACTTGAAAAGACATTTGTATGTTCTTGTTCATGTCAATATCATTCATGATCAAAAGGTGGGAGGCAGACAAACGTCCCTCATCATAAAATGGGTAAACAAAATGTGGTACAGCCATGAAACGGAATATTATGCAACCTTTAAAAAATAAGGAAATTCTGGAGCTGGAGAGATGGCTCAGCAGTTAAGAGTCCTGATGGCTGCTCTTGTAGAGGACCCTGATTCAGTTCCCACCACTCACATCAGGCAGCCCACAACCATTGTAACTCCAGCTCCAGGTGATTAAGCACGCTCTTCTGGCTTCTTCAGGCACCAGACATACATGTAGTGTACACATATACACACAGGCAAAACGCTGATCCACACAGACTAAAAATAAATACATGTATTTTAAGGAGATTCTGACATACATTGCAGTGCCCATAGAGGCCAGAAGAGGGCGATAGATCTCCTGAAGCTGGAGTTAACCTGATAACCTTGGTTCTCCACAAGAGCAGCCAGTGCTCCTAACTGCAGAACCATCTATTTTCATGCATTTGTCGGCTGTTTGTAGATCTTCTCAAAGAAGTCTCCACTGGAGTCCTTCACCCATTTTGCAGCTGGATTACTTTGCTGTTGTTTGTTGGGTTCCTTATCCACCGTGGTCTCAGCCCTGTCAGGTGATCCTGTGTCTCCTGTTCTGAAGGCCATTTCTCCTATGCTTTTCCTTCACTGTCCAGATGTTCTTTAGTTAGATGTAACCCCATTTGTTGGTTTACTTTTGTCCTCTGTGCCTTTGTAGTCCTATCCAGGGAATCATTTCCTGGACCCCTCCACTGTGTTTGACTATTCCCTGCTCCCCAACATTCTCTTTTGGAAGTTTTAGAGTTTTGAGTCTTCCATTAATGTCTTTGATACATTTGAGTTGATTTTTTAAAAAAAAGATTCTCAAAATTAAATTTTTTTAAATGTGTGTGCAGAGGTCAAAGGACAAACTAGTGGGAGTTGGTTTTCTTTTTTCTGCCATGTGGGTCCCAGGGATTGAATTTAGGTCATCAGGCTTGGAAGCAAGCCACCTTTGCTGGGTCTTGGGTTGATTTTTGTACAAGGTGAAGTTTCTTCCCTGCCCCCATGGGGATAAACGTCATAATGTTGAGTGTCAGGATGTTTTTCTTCCTGCCTCTCTGAGTATAAAATCAAGGGAGCCCAAATTCTGGAATGACTCAGTGATGGAAACTGGTCCATGGAACATTTTTTTTTTTTTTTAAGCAGGGGATGTGAAGAGGAATCCTTGAAGGAGAGAGGGTGACAGGAGCTCTATTTTCCTGTTTCTCTGTCTCTGCCAGGCCACATCCCCAAAGGCAAGTTCCAGCCGCAGAGCCACAGTCTCGTGTGCTGGTGACACAGAGATTCTGCAGATATCCGAAGTAGCTGAGAGCCAACCAGAGATCCTGGGGTATCTCAAGAGTGAGTGGGATTTGGGATTGACTTCACAACTTATGGTGCCTTGTGCAAAGTCAGGATGTAGTGCCCGTGTGCAAAAATTAAGAATTTAGAGATGGCGTAGGCAGAAGGTGGAAGTGTAATGCTTTTAAAGATTGGCTCTATGAGGCTGTGCAGGTTGTGCACCCACCAAACCTGTCCTGGAGGAAACAGCTGATGCTTATTTCATCCCTCCACCATTGTGGGGTGTGCGTGTGCATGTGTGTGCCTGTGCATGTGTGTGCGTGTGTGTGTGTTTAAGCCATTGACAAACACATGGAAGTCACAAGAAGCATAGGAAGACAAAAGCCAGGCTTTTTGCCCAGAGGATAATTAAAAGAAGATTGGCTAGAAGTTTGCAAACTCAGATAAAGAAGTACTAATGAAAAATTTGTTCAGGCTGGGCATGATGGCACACACCCAGTTTGGGGAGGTAGAGGCAAGATGATTACCATAACTACAAAGCTAGTCAGGGAATCATATCAAAACAATCACACACACACACACCACACACACACACACACACACACACACACACACACACACACACCCCACAAGATCTGAATATCTTTACCAAAGAAGACATTCAAATGCCAACTAAACAGTGTAAAAGAAAGGTCACCTAGATGGCTCAGCGGGGCAAGCAGTTGCCCACACAAGCTGGATGTGGTGACACACATTTGTAATCCTGGCACTCCTAAGGTGAGGTGAGAGACAGAGTCAAGAGAATTGACGGAAAGCTCATGGCCAGCTAGTCTGAGGGCCTAAGAGCAGTCAAACAGCCAAAGAGACAACCTCAAGAAGGCAAAGGAGAGAACTGACGTCTACAGGCACACCTTCACATGTGCGCGAGTGCACACACACACACACACACACACAAACACACACACACACGCACACGAGCATGTGCACACACAGTATTAAAAATTAATAAATGTACAGCTTTTTTTGTCTGTTTGTTTAAATCACCTGTATCTTGCCAGTCAGTGGTAGCATACACCTTTAGTCCCAGTAGTTGGGAGAGAGAGGCAGGGGCAGGCAGATCCCTGGGTTCTGGGCTAGCCTGGTGTACATAGTGAATTCCATGACAGCCAAGACTACACGGAGAAACTCTGTTTCAAAAAACAAACAAACAAACAAACAAACAAAAAACCAACCCCTTCCTCCAAACAAACAAGCCACCACAATACAACCAAAACCAACCCTCCCCAAACTCTCACCTATATCTTTTATGAAGTCTTTTCACTTGAATTATGTACAATCACCAGTCTTGATTTTACAAATGTTAGGAACCTCATATTGCTGGGGAGATATACATTAAATAGACGTACTGAGACAAAATAACCTCTTGATTGCCTCTGCTGTAACTTTTTGTTTGCTGGTGACAAGTCATCCAAATGAGAGCAGAGGTTGCTTTTATCCCATGTGTGACCCCTGCAGGCCCAACCCAATGGCCAAGAGCACATAGCTGTTTCCCAGAGGCCAGTTGACAGGTCCTGGGAAAGGTCACCTTCATTCAAACCTTACCACGCCGATGCTTTCGAATGAAAAGATGGCTGTTCCAAAGAAGAGCGGGTAGGTCTTCCAGCTTGCTACCAGTGGCAACTGGCTGGGGTCTGGAATTCCCTACAGGGGAGAAAAATATATATAAGATTCTCACTCTGTGGGCACACTTGAGCTCCTCTGAGCAGGAAGGACTCTGAAAGGAGAATTGGATTTGAGAAAATGGAAATGCCAAAAAGTTCAGCAAGTCTTTAGAATGAAGTAAAACTGATAACCATTGACTTGAATATCACACAGTACCAAAGAGCCAGAGGGCAGGAACATGCAGGCATTGTCAAAGCACCGAGGATCAGTTTCTCAGGAAGGAGCAGGTTTATCAGAAGTCTCTAAAAGAACATTATATATATATCACATATACACAGTGGTGGCACAGGCTCGTGCCACCTAGCACCCAAGAACACTTTATGAGTGGATAGTGGGCATGAGTGTTAGAAGTCCTTGTGCACATGTGCACATGTGTGCGTGTATATGTGTGTACAGGTGTAAGTGTACATGTCTGGGTGCGTGTAGAGGCCAGAGGTCGATTCTAGCGTCTTTATTGGTCCCTCTCTGCTTTATCTTTTGAGTTAGGATCTCTCACTCAACTGGATCCCATCAATTTGGCTAGACTGGCAGGGATCCTCCTGTCTCTGCTCTGCTCACTTCAACTTCGCCACCCCAGTGCTGGAATTGCAAGTATGTACCACAGCACTGGTACCGGCAAATAGTGTACTGATGGAGTTGACTCCCTGACTCCACAAACACAGCTTTTTTAAGAGCTGAATTTAGTATTAAAAGCTATCATTTGGAGACACAGCAGGAGGGAGATAGCTCAAAAGGGGAAACAGTACAAAGAGGGAATGTTACGTAGAGATGGGTCCAAGGCTGAACATACCCATCTTAGGGCTTGGCCCCTGGTGTCTATTATTGATACAAGGGTCCTGTCTCCCGGGGAGTCAGTGGGTGGTGTGCACCAACCTGGATAATGTACTGGGCAATGATGACCAGGCTGACCAGCATACTGATGTTGGCCAACAGGGAGAAGATGGTGAGGACACGGAGGTTCCTGATGAATACCAGAAGCCCCAGAACGGGCAGGAAGGCGAGCATGTAGAGTCGAGAGTCCATGGTGGGTGTCAGAACTACCGTCTCGTTCTCATGACAGCTGATGGTTGTGCTGTTAACAGCTTCTACTACCTGAAGAAGGAATGGGAAAAGACGAGGAGGAAAAAAAATCTGGGCATATAGTGGACTCAGAGCTTTCCCCAGAACCAGACTCTCTTACAAAGAGTCCAGGGAGCTCGAGCAAGTATGGGGTACTTGAGAACTTCTTTTTGGTTTTAGTTTTTAAAGACATTTAAATTACATATGCACACACAAAAACATATATGTGTTTGTGTGTGCATATGTGCTTGTGGGGCACACATGAGGAAGTCAGTACAGGAGTTGGATCTCTCCTTCCACTATGTGGGCCCTGGGGCTCTAACTCAGGTCGTCAGGCTTGCCTGAAAAAGTCATCTCTCCAGCCCATGAAATGTCTTATTCTAATTCTTCTTCACCAGACTGCCTCAAAGGAGGCTACCAACACAGCGAATTTAATGACATCTAACTGCATTGATAGTAGGGTCTGCTGCCTCGGCTCCCCAGCATCCAGTCTTCTGGATTGATTATTCATAGTGAATTCTTTTTTGCTACTAAATGCAGCCTTGGGGAAACTGAAGATTACAGAATAGTCTGGCCTATTCACAGAGTCAGGCTCTGTGATCAGAAAGACAGATGGAAATTCAAGCCAAGTGACACAAAGACCAACTAAAAATGGTGAAAGTGACCATGACAGTGAGGTCCCAAGGGGTTACTCACTCACTCTAGTGTTTACACACAGAAGTACACACACACACACACACACACACACACACACACACACTGCTCTGCTCTGGACTTTTCTGAGACCCACCTTTTAGTGTTCTCTTCCATTTTACAAGTCAGCTTCGATCTTTCCAATACACTTACTTTCTGCCTAAATATTTCCCAGAGTCCCTTTCTTTCACTCATAGCCCCTAAGTTCCATCAGTTATTGCATTGTAACTGGCCTAGAGAGTTGTTATCTCTTTTTAAAAACAAAAATATTAGATTATTTACTTTGTCATTTTGTGTGTATGATGTGTGTACTTGTATGTTTGTGTACCACGTGTATGTCAGGTGCCTGCTGAGATCAGAAGTCAGTCCCCAGGGACTGGAATTAAAGACAGCTGTGAGCTGTCATGTGGGCAGTGGGACTAGAACCTAGATTCTCTGCAGGAGCAACAAGTGCTCTCAACCATCTGAGCATCTCTCCAGCTCCAGATATTCTTTGTTTGGCTGGATTAGCACTGGCATTTAGAATTTCAGGATTCTCCCTCTCCCTCTCCCTTCCCCTCTTTGTGTGTACTGGAACAATTACAGAACACTGGACATCCTTGACCCCTATTTAGTGAAAGCTGTTAACACCCCCAAACATGTTGTAAACAAGACTCCAATGATGGTAAGTTTTAATTGTCAACTTGATACAATCTAGAATTACCTGGGAAGAGTTTCAATGAAGAATTGTCTAGATCAGATTGGCTTGGGTCATGTCTGTGGGGCTTTGTCTTGATTGTTAAGTGATGTGGGAAGACCCAGCCCACTGTGGGCAGCACCATTCCCTAGAATTGGGTCCTAGACTATATGTAACCACAGAGAAAGTGAGCTAAGTAGTAATCATGCATCATTCGTTTTCTCTACTCTTCACCGTGAAGGTGATATGACTAACTGCTTTGAGTTCTTGCTACCTTGACTTCCCCATAATGATGGACTGTGACTTTGAGTTGTAAGCTAAAATACACTCATTCTTTCTTAAGTTTCTTTTTGTCAAGGTATTTTATCACAGCAGCAACAAAAATGAGGCTAAAACAACACACAGTATATATGTCCCTTCCCTATAAGTTCAGGGGTGAATGAATGGTCCACTCTAAGTTAAAAATCAGTGAAACTCTAATGTAAACAATACAGTTGTTCAGGCAGTAGAATTCACCGCAGAACAATTAGAATCCAGAATTGTGTAAGAAGAAAGTGTAAAGCTGCTGCTGACATTGGTACTGGTGGCAAAGCATGGTGTCATCTCCAATATATTCATCCATGCATTTTCTATACAGTGTCTCAAATCACATGATGAAGATTCATTTTCTTTTGTAAGATGGCAATCACAATATCCATTCTTACTTTAAAACCTTATTTTGACTTAACACATATCATGGATATATAAATATAAGTTTTATCTTTGGGATTTTTCTCTACTTATGTGAGTGCTGCCAGGATGGAACCCTGGGGCTTGGCATACAGAGCTTGACTTTTGCTTTTGTATTTTTGAGGCAAGGTATCACATAGCCAAGGTTGGGCTCAAACGTACTATGTGGCTGAGGATGACCTTGGACTTATGATCCTCCTGCTTCTACTTTCCCAGTTTGTATAGAGCTGGGAGTTGAACCCAGAGTTTTAGGAATGCCAGTCTACAATTGAGTTACCTCCCTGCTCTCACACCGTTGCCTTTTTGTTTGTTTGTTTTTAAATGATTTCTCCCTACAATATGAAACATCCCCGGATAATTAGCCAGGCACTCTCAGACCTGCATAGAGGGTCTCTGTGCTGTGGTCAGGGCTCCTTCTCTTGGTGGCCACCACTGTCTTGTATAACTAGAAAAATTGCTCTCATGGGCCAATCCCACATGTTCATGCCTGGAAGTTTTTACGTGGTCCATTTCCCTGGTTTGGCAACTGCACTCTGCAAGCTGCCTGAGCATGCCCAGCCCACATATGGCTCCCCAAAGCAGCCTTCTACTCCGCTGGGGGCTTTACAATGATGCTTCTGGACCACAGTGTGCATTTTTAACACCTGTGCTGCCTCCCAGAGATCCCATGGAACTTTGCCCACTGTATTTTAAAACCCTACCGCTTAGTTCATAAGCCCCACAAGACAATGCTTGCCTTAATAGACAGCTGGTAAAAATGCAGGTCGTGAGCAACAGACCATAAATCAGGGTTTGCAGAGAGCAGCTTGCTTTCTGAAGAGCCTCAGACGAGTGCTCTGAGTCTTTCAATTACACTCTTTGTCTCAGTACACTTACTCAGGAAAAAAAGGGATTACACAGAGATATGTGTCCCTGCAACTGGTCACAGTGGGAAATAGCAAGAAACAATGAATCTGGATTGAGGGCACACTGTAACTCCAGCACTTGGGAGGTAGAGGCAGGAAGATCTGAAGTTCAAGATCGTCCTCTGCTACATAGTGAGTTTGAGGCCAGTTTGGGCTACTTAAAACCCTGCCTCAAACAACAAAACAAAACAAACCCAAAACGACAAGATGAAGAAAATACAAATAATAATATCCTTGGCTAGGGATGTGGCTTAGCTAGTAGAGAGCTTGCTGGGCATGTATGAAATTCTGGGTTTGATTTCTACCATTGCATAAATTAGGCATGGTTGGCACATATCTGAAATACCAACACTTGGTGGGTTGGGGCAGAGGGGTCAGGAAGTCAAGGTCATCTTTGGCTATATAATAAGTTTGAGGCCAACCAGAGATACAAGGGACCCTATCTCAAGAAGGTGAAGGAGGAGGAGGAGGAAGAAGAGGAGGAGGAGGAGGAGGAAGAGGAGAGGAGGAAGAGGAGGAAGAGGAGAGGAAGCAGTGAAAATATTCAGAAAATATTCAGCAATAGAATACAGATTGTGGTATGATCTCTCTTAGTGATAGACTGCTTCAAACTGAATCAGTTACTATAGTCAGTTCTCCATTGCTATAATAAAACACCGGAGATAATAAGATGGCATGATCACACACACTCACACATGCACACACGCGCAAGCGCGAGCGCGCACACACACACACACACACACACACACACACACACACACACACACACAGAGAGGCTCAGAATTCTGTAGGTACATGGAGGGTGAGGGAGGCTAAGCTCCCCGATAGCAGGCTTTCCCTTCCCATGATGACTTTTTGATGACTCAGATGAACTAGTGGTAAGCAAACAGCTGGTAGAGAAGCTTCCTTCTGTGACCTCCCACCCTACCTTGTCTGCGTACCTGTTTTAAATTGTCCGCCAGAAACACAATGTACACACAGCAGAAGCCGAGCTGGGTGACAATGAGGAAGAAGCTCACCACATGCCTGGAGGAAGAGGGAGGGGAGAAAAGCTTGCTATAAAAGCTGACTTTTCTGATCCATTTCTAGCCATTCTGCCCTATGTCCCCAAGGGATGGTAGCCCTGTACCAACACCTCCATCTTTCTACTACAATCAAGAGGACAGAGAGGAAGGAGGTAACAGCAGCTGGTTGGGAACAGCCTTTGTACGCTCACAGCTGGCTAAGTGGTCAAGTTCCCAGGCCTGGGAGGCTGTGCCCCACCTAGCTCCCTGGCGTTCTTCAACCCCGCCTCTCACTGTGACTGACAGGAAGTACGTAACAATTATTAGCTGCCTAGAACTCAGAAAACATTTTTCCTAGCATGTGCCAGACACTTCATTAGGTATTGAGGCTACATAGATAACACAGAGCCTCTCGCTCTGGTAGGTTATAAGAGAGTGGTTTGTAGATGGGAAGAAATTAGTGTCACGGGGGCTGAAGAGATGCTGCAATTGCATGCTTGCTCCAAAGCATGAGGAGCTGCATTCAGATTCTTAGCATACATTTAAAAAGCCAGGCATGGTGGCTCGCACTTGTCCTTCCAGAGTTGGGAAAGTGGAGACAGAAGAATCCCTGGAGCTTATAGCCAAATCAGTGAGTTAAGTAAGAGTGTTATAATGAAACCTACTGTTTTGTATAAATATGCACTCAAAATGTATCCACAGCAAAGGTTGGCTGGTGAGAAAAGTCTTTTTTGTGTGTTTTTTGTTTTGTTTTGTTTGTTTGTTTGTTTGTTTTTTGAGACAGGGTTTCTCTGTGCAGCCCTGGCTGTCCTGGAACTTACTATGTAGATCAGGCTGGCCTCGAACTCAGAAATCTGCCTTCCTCTGCCTCCCAAGTGCTGGGATTAAAGGCATGCGCCACCACCGCCCAGCTTGAAAAGTCTTAATAATTTATCCTTAATCTGTCCTCACTCACTTAATATGGTGATCTTTAATCCTAAAGGGGAGAGAATAAGGGAGAGAGGGAGGGAGGAAGAGAAGAAGAGGAGGAAGAGGAGGAAAAGGAGGAGGAGGAGGAGGAGAAGGAGGAGGAGGAGGAGGAGGAGGAGGAGGAGGAGGAGGAGGAGGAGGAGGAGGAGGAGAATATTAATGAATTATAGAGACAGAAAAAAAGAACATTCTTAGACACACCACTACGGGCTGGAGAGATGGTTCAGTAGTCAAAGTGCAGTTCCAGACCCCCAGAGTCCACATAAATGTCAGGTATGTATGCTGTTCTTCCAGGACTTCCAGCCTTGGAAGATGGAGATGGGATCTCCACAGCAAGATAGCTAATGAAATTAGCCACATCAGCAAGCTCTCGATTCCACCGAGAGACCTTGCCCCAAATGAGTAAGATGGTGAAGAGAGGATGATTCCAGACATCAACCTCAGGCCTTCACATGCACGAGCACACACGGATACTGCATGTACTTCTACAGACGCGAAAGGATGCACACCACGCATACATATGAAAGTGGGAAAAAAACCAGTGCATGAGAAAAAGCACCTTTGGAAAAGGAGAAAAGAGAGGGGGAGGAGAAGGAGGAAGATAGAAGAGGAGATGGAGGGAGAGAAGAGGAGGAAGAAAAGGAAAGATAGGAGAGGTGGTGGAGGGGGAGGAGTGAGGAACAGTGGTGTAGAAGGAACCGGCGGGTTTTGATGGCTTCCTAGAGCAGTGTTCACTGATGGAGCCAGACTTAGCCAGAGCGGGTGACAGTAGATAATCTCCATAATGGGTGACAGGGAAGTCACGTGTGTGAAGCTGTGGTCACTAAGGCAGGAGGATGACAGCAAGTTCAAAGTGCTAGGGAGCTGGAATGCCCAGACCCTGACCATGGACCCCTGGGTCGGGGGTAGATAATCTTATGTGATGCACCTGGTTCATTTGCTATGCTGAAGCTGAATGCTGGACAGGACACAACTGTGTCCTAGCAGCTGGGATGCTGAGTTGTGCCAATGTACAAAGTCTTGAGGAGGCAGATGAAGAAGAGGGAAGGGCAGTGGTCCTAACTGGCAGATCCAGAGAAACTCCAGTTCCCCACACTCCAAAAGACAGTCCAGGTATCTAGAAATGTGCTCAAGATGGACTACAGAACTTCAGGTGCTTAGATAAAAGCCAGCATTCGGGGACTTATGAAACTGATTCCTATCTGCCAAAAGGGGTAATTATCCTCACCACTGGCAGAAGGGACTTAGGGCTCTCCACTGACACACACCAGAGGTTGCATGTCAGGGGCATGCCGGCTTCTGGGCTCTCTCAGTATCACAAGCACCTGGTAAGTTTTCAAAATGCAGCCTCCCATCCTAGCCTTTCTCACATCCTCCTCCACCCTAACCCCCTCAGCCCCGCCCCGCTACTCATCCTGTTTATAACCCAGCTGTCCTCACTGTTCTCAGAGCTCCCTATTCTCACTACGCTCTCAATATTCCCCATCTCTGGCTGTTCTCCCTCCTCTCTCTCTATTCCCCATCTCTGGCTGTTCTCCCTCTGCTCTCTCTAT